TTGATGGTAATCTGCCATGACCCCAAGAGCCTCATGCGGTGCATTATTATCGAAAAAATCCGACAGGAAATAATGTGGACCATTTGCTTGGAAAATTAAGAAATAACAGAAGGCAATAGATAGGACTTTACCTGTCAGACCTTTACCCCATTTTACTATCCCTTTCGCATGTGTCGATATGCATTCTCCCGATCTCTCGGGTTATTGATGTATGCAGAGCGTCTGAAAGATACCATCAATGCCCGGATTACGAGCGTCTGCCTTCACTGTTTGTGGAGATTTTCTTAAAAACTCCCTCGATCGGAATAACTGCTTGTTTTCTCGCATACACGTACCACGAGTCTTCTCTCCGACCGAAGTATCGAATGGATGAGGACGTGTAATTCCCTTCCTGTCGAAAATAAATCCTCCCAGGTTTTTACGGTCTCTTTGTACCCACGCGATAAATGAACCCCGATAAATAAGCCACTGCATTTTCCATTTCATCTATATTTAATATGTTGCTAACAACATATGTAAACCGAAATTATTCGATAATTTCCATTAAAATATTAATTTTACCTTTACAGTAATTAACTATTTGACGATAAATAACCTTATCAAATTTGATTTTATCCACTGTTGTCTATTTATATTCATGCATTCACAAAATTTGCATTATAATGGACTGTATGGCTATAATTTTCAATTTAATTTAGCGTCACATTCGCGTATTATAACAGATGTTTCCTTGCCGAGTTTTAAACAAACCGTTTTAAACTTTCATTGTTTTTAAAATGAAAATGCTGCTGCACGTAACTCTTTTGGGTGGGTTTAAAACTAATCAAATGCTTGTCTTTGATACATATCACATTTCACATTTCCCAACTCGTTAGCTAAATCATTTTACGAGTAGCCAAAGGTCCCCTTAGATCGCAAAAGAATGTTGATAAATGATGCATGATGGGCAGCGAAAATTCAACGTCGCAATTCGAGCCAACCGCCGCCGTCCAGGCGAAATTAGTTGTAGTTTAATTGGTCCCACCGGTGTGCTATATAATCAGCACTAGGGCGCAGGGTGTGCGGGCATTTCACAACTTTCTCCAGGGAGTTTATTAAATATCATGATACATTTTATGTTCCGAAAATGCCAACCAACAACCCCATACTTTCGCGCTAGTTCAAACACACGCTGGTTATTTATAGATGCAACCCTGTAATTAGAGCAAGAACGGCAAAAGACGAAGGATTATTAAATAAAATTAATTACTCATTTTATAAATAATTTAAAGCACAGAACAACTCAAAGCTACAACATGGATTCATTACCAACAGTATGAGACAATACTGGATTGAAAAAATTGAAAATTGTTATTTTTTGTTTAGATGTCGAATAATTTTGAGTACTAGCAATTTGGATGTTAGGATGTTCTTTTTGACTACCACTAACATTATTTTTCCAAAGAACTTTGTAATGATACAATCTGTTCTTGAGTAATGTTGCATGAGTTGTTAATTGGTCGACTGGTGTAATTAAGCTTCAAAATCAAAATAGATAGAACAAAGCAAGAAGAGGAGTCGCTATCAATAAGCCACAGTGTGCGTTGGCGCTTATTGCATTAAGTTTCATTGTGGCAGAATGGCCGCCAGTGACTGGCGTCACTTCCCTTTCGTGACCGGTTAGAGGGAACCGGGCACGCCACCAGTTTCCTTATCATATGTTCCTGTGCCATTGCTGACCCGATAAGGACTCGACTCGACGCCGCATTAAAAACAATATGGGCCACTAAAGCCTGACAAAGGAAAGAGGACATTGTCTGCTCAAGGATATTTTACGCAATTGCTAGTTCTGTTTTTCCGTAACGTAAAAAACGTTTTCCTAGGTGTGCATTCGATGTTTATTTTAATTATAGTTGTGCACAAAAAAACTATTTGTTGTGAAATCGCGCAGGTCCGTTCCATTAAATTAGTACGAGGTTTGTCCGAGTCCATTACTGGGATTAAAAAGGAAGGGACTTTGGTTGTGCAACGGACGCACTAGTTATTTATTAATTCGGTCTGTACTGCAACCGGAAAAAATTGATCCGCATGCCTAATTTTCGCTGCAAAGTAATAGAAGGTATTAACTTCAGGATCTGGGAAAATATTAATTTTCCGCTGCAGAAACGCGAAATTATATCCAGATTAACGTTTTGGGGGATTATTTTTTAATTCTTGCAACAATTAAAACTACTACATTTGCCAATTTTGTGTAATTTTATGGAGACATTGGTATGGCTTTCTTAAAAAAAGTATTAATCATACAACTTATGGTCGTACAAGGTCGGTTGATGGGTCATTTACAATACTTTTTATGTTTAGAAGAAAGTCTTCTTAAACGTAGTTTCTTTATTTCTTTAATGCTTTAAATGTAATAATTGAGTTGCTTTTATTGACCCACCATTTACTTAATAAGTAGTGAATAGTTGTATCGGGAGTAAAAAATCAAAGTGCCCAAAAAAATTAAGCCATAATGGGTATTCCAGTGTCGAACAATAGGTTTTCTACTTGTTTTAAGTGTGCTTCCACATACATGCACCGACAGACATCCTGTTTTGGCTTGTTTAGACCCCATCAGTGCCGGAAAAGTGTGATACTCGTACAGAATTCTGCAGCACACACAGTTTGTTTCATGTCCACTGGACAGTAGATGGCGCTGATTACCTTTCGTTGTATCCGGTTGCATATAAGCGTGTTTCGAGTGTTCTTACACACAACAGCTATCCGGCATTGATGAGGTCTAAAAAGACTGAAACAGGCTGTGTCGGTGACTGTTTTGGTTTTATCTTTTTCTACACTAGTTAATATAGTTAAAATAAGAAAAATTTAATTTAAATAAAATCATTCTTTGTCGCAGTGCTATTGCGGGATAAGCTGAAATAAAAAATGATTAAATTTGATGAAATGAAATTTATATTGAAGCGTGTATTATCGAGTTAATTCCTCTCTAATTCCGAATTGTTTTTTAATAGCTTTCCTATAATCTGTATTCATCCATCCCGGGGGATCGTAATCTCTCAATATAAACAAGTCGGTAAGTTGCGTTACATCGCTTCATTTTCGAAATTTATCCCGAATACGGTTCAAATTAAAAATCAATTTGGATTATATAAAAGTTTAAAGGTTTAGGTTTTGGACTTTTTTCATAAATTAGTCACCTTCCTGCGGCGGTCACAACTAAATGGTTGCTTCTAAAAAGTATAATTGAAATATGACAGTAAAAAAATTATATTTTTCTTATTACTTTTTTAAAGCAGCAACGCAGAGCTTTCGCTCTCTAAAATTGTACCAAAAATCTGTTTGTCGTATATAAAATTTAGCCTATCGTCCAACAATTGTTTCAATTGCATGGTTTAAAATATTCGAATGTATCCAATCAGCGATTGAATGGCGTGAGTTCAATCCTCGTTAGATGGAACGAACCTCATTGTGTACCCTTTCAATTTCGTTCCCCAAAAATTAACTACGTAATCTCGCCTCCCCCCTGCGTAATATCGCTGTTTATTTAGTAATTGTATACGGGATGGCGCGGCATTTCATTAGTAGGCTGATCGAAATGGATCTGACGCGAGGTCCGAAGGTGTGCCAATATTTGGCGAGCAAAGGTCTCGACCCGAAATTTAATGGGACCTGGGGTTAATCGGAGGTGCGATCTTGGGAATTGATTGGTGTAAGTGCCAGCTAGCAAACTCAATAATATCGCTCGCGTTAATGGAAATTGGATTAATTTAACTTTTTTATGAAATATTTTGGTGAAATACTAAACAATTAATTATAAAGGCGAAAGTGTAGTAGGATAATCAATAAAGCAAAGTCAAACATTCATAAATTAATTCGTCTTTTCTTTTTCTAATTAGTTTCCTTTATTGGCACCGAAGTTCGGGATAATTACTTACAATGCACTTTTTACTTTTCGATATTGAGCAAGGTTTTATTCATATAACTTTGGAGGTCATAAATCTAAAACTGCGAAGCTGCGGTCGGGCTCAACTTTTAACTTTTGCCACGTTTTACTCAATAAATTTAATGAGTTTTCGCGGAACACGGGCTCCAAAACGATATGTATTTTTTTGCAGCTGTCAAATGTATTTTTGAAAGGAAACGATACAGTGAAAAGGTTTATTTATGCCTCGCCTTTAATTCATTTCCAAAAACTTTGCCGCTTTCGATTTTATGAAATTTGCGAGCGCCTAAGTGCTATTTAATTTTTCGCTAGCAACGATAAATTAATTGAATTTAGAAGACCTGGCATTTTTTGAGCGCTTGCTTTTTAGACACGTCAGGGTTTTTGTGCGTATTTAATTTATTTTGTTGGATTAAATTCAAATGACATCTAATCCACTTGAGGAAGTATGATATTTCATACGACCTGTGTATTTCTTTAATAATGATGGTTTCGCTTATTTAAAAAATGATACTCTACTTTTAAAGGTTATGGAATTCCTAAACATAAAAAGACTTCGTCTTGCCACTACTGACAACAAGGATTTAGAGACTCAGCTGACAAATAAGGGTACACTAAAGTTCTTAAACTTTTCAACTGCATTACAAAAGAATATATCCAGTGTTATTTGCTGTCTTAATGTATTGGAAAATCATGAATATCAATCATAATTAATAAAATTCCTCGAGACGTGCTAAAAGCCTACTTTTATTCAATAAAACATTTCCTCGTGATATTTCCTTGACATAGCACAAAAAGATGTTAAGCAAATGTCTAATATTTCAACGATGAAGTTTTTGTTAAAAAAAAACGGCTAAGCCGCTACTTCGTGCAGATTGATATCTCTCCTGCAAGAATGGTCCGACTCTATTGCAGGATATTATTTACATTGTCACATCGGACATTTTTTATGGCGGGCCGTAAAAAAGATCTAGTAGGTAATCCGGCATTTCCTGTTAAAGTATTTGCATAGATTTTTGTTTTTTATTGATATACTACAAATTGGATTGTGATGCTAATAATTTATTTTTTGTTGCAGGGTCGATGTAATAGGGAAAAACCACCATGCAAATATTTCCACCCGCCGCAACACTTAAAAGATCAGCTTTTGATAAACGGCAGGAACCACCTCGCATTAAAAAATGCCCTCATGCAACAAATGGGTCTCACACCCGGACAGCCCATCGTACCAGGACAAGTTCAAGCTGTGGTAAGTATTGCAAATCTGGGACTTTTCGCTTGGTTTAGTAGTTTTGCCATAATTATAATTTGCTGTGGATAACTGGAGATTGAAAATGTTAAATTTTTATTATACACCATATAATCTTTTTTGCTAATTTGCTAATTGGGCACTTTTAAGTATGTTTTTATTTATTATTATTAACGTAAAATAAGTTATCTAATTGGTTCATTAAATTAATATTAAATTTAAATTCTTCATTATAAATAAATATAAAGGCAAATTAACATGTATTTTTAGCCCAAACAATTAATTTTATTTCAATTTGGCAATATAAACAATATTTTGAGCGAATTCATTATTACTTACATATTACATAACTATAGTTATGTATATGTAATTTATGGAAATATGTTAACATACATTAATCTTCAGTTGTTCGTTTATGTTTTAACATTTTATTTACATTACGGTGCACGTAAAGCACGGCATATTTTTTGTTTTTTTTTATTTTAATTTTGTAGATTTTTTGTTGGCACGATTTTTCAGCATGGTGATGGGTTACAGAATTCGGTATACATATTTAAAACCATGTCTCTATAGCTCACATGAAAAATAAATTGTTTAAAATTTCGGTAATTTTCCTACAAGATAAAGTTAAATTGTATTAGCCACAGACCAGGTCTGTGGTATTAGCTTAAAGTTGATTTCACAATATTAAAAAAACAAAGCTTTTAAGGGCAAAGATGGCATAAAATAATAATTTTTGTTATTGTGAAATTTTGTGCCATTCATTTGGGGCTATAGTAGATGTTAACTAATTAACTGAATTTTTTCGGAGATGGACCCGCAACTAGAGAGCATTCCCTTGACCTTCTTCCCACACTTGTCCATGTCAGTTGACGAGCAGTATGCAATGATGGTAAAATTACACCCCTTAAAAACGCTCATTAAAAAAGTACTTCTACCCATTTTTTTTAAAAGAGAAACTAACGCTTCTTAGAGCTTTGCATAACTCCAAGTCATTTGTTTACTAGTTCATTTAACGATTTTTTAGAAATTTATTCATTTAGTATTTATTTTGTTTAATATTTGCTAGCTTTGCATGAGCATATTGACCAACAAATTCAATTACTCAAAATTAGATTTGACATAATATTTTTGTATGATTTCAGGCCGCTAATCCCTACCTGACAGGCATGCCCCAGGTTGGCAGCACGTACAGCCCCTACTTCGCACCTGGACCCATCATGCCGACGATCATGGGCCCTGACCCTACGGGCGTAGGGTCTCCTCTAGGAGTCGTCCCACAAACCGTGGTCCAACAGAAGATGCAACGTTCCGACAGATTAGAGGTATTGTCACCTTATATTTTACCATCTATCTTACCTTTGGGGTATTATACGGAGGCCCTAAGACCTCGTATACCCACTGTTCTAGGTGGATTTGGGACCGACTATTATGGAATTTGTTTAAAATTTAGTGGTAACAGTTATTTTTGAATCGCTGAATTTTAAACGGGTAATTTCATTTGACGGTGTCATCTGTGTAAAATGCGCAATACTCTCTTACCATCAAATTGGATTTATGAACGTACACATACATTTTTTTTTTATTTTGGCTTTTTATTTTTAATTTATTCGCCACTTTCACGAATAATTTTTAGTAATTATTATGTTTGTTATTATTAATTTAATTTAGTTAGTTATGCAAGAATTCGTTATTGTTCAGTGAAAGTGGACAATTATTTATGATACAAACTATTATTTTATCAAGACTACTAAAATTGTTAATAAATTACACTACATTCGAATGCATGAGTTATTTTTTATTTTTTTTTATTTTTATTTCAGTTCGTTTTATTTAGCAGATTTATTTTTTGGGTTTAACACGGACGAGGTAATCACACAAAACTAACACACTTTTGGCAAAACTAATATTAGTTGGTAGTTTCATCCATCACATTTTGTAAATATTTTATTTTACTGAAGATTAGTTACTTGCTGTAAATAATTTTCATTAAAGCAACAATCGACCTCAAAAATCCTTTTTTGCGGTCGAATTTTTGTATTTTCTTGTATCCTTTTCGAGCACTTGTAACTTTCTATCGATTTTTATTTGCACAGTGTGAAGTTTTATTCATAGTTTTCATCTATGTAGCGTAGTCTCCTCTGTTTATCCTTTATTTTGTATTTATTACCATAATCTTAACGCTTTTTCGATAGAAGGTTATTTAGTAGATGATCATTTAGCTTTGCACTTGTTCGTAGTCCCCGTCCAGTAATTACTAGATTACTGTTAACTGTTATTTTATAATTAGGAGACAATGCGGCAATTACCTAAATGATCAGCTTATTGAATGAGCTCTTGATTATTATTATCCTGTAGGAATTAGGTATGTCGGGTTCAATCAATCAATCGGACTGGACTGTTTCTTAAACAGGACAAAGCCGACTGATTGGCAACACTGCCCCAATTATGTTACGTCATACCCATAAGTTAAATAATTCAATATATTAAGTAGTAAATTCCGAAACTGATATCACTGTTTAATTGTCAATGTACCCAAATGTTAACATGGTTTTTGGGTACTTGGGGTTAAATCGGGAATTCTAGGTGGGCTGATTATATTTTTTGTCAACTTTGACCGATTATTGGGAATGTTTTGTTTAAATAACAAAGGATAATGATAATGATTACTTAAAATCTTTATTTTAAATGTGTTATCCTTACAAGTTGCATTCATGTTAAAAGGGTGTCCTTGCAAGAATTTGAATTTTGAATTAATGAAACACATTTTTTAAGGTTAAATCTTGATTTTAAACAAGAAAAACAATACTAATTTATTATCATTGCAATGCACTGAAAATCTGTTGGCAGTATTCGTTAAAGGAATTTTTTTCTACCTTAACTTCTTCACATGGACCTACCTTAAATATGGTTTAAACAGTTGTGTTCTACCTGACACGCCATTTATTTTTGTAGAACAATAGTTATCATACAAGGCGATAAAACGTTATTTTATATAATTATATTTATTTTATTTTATTTAGACAATAATGGACTTTTATCGTCGTGTGTAATACAATGCTTGGCGACATCTATGTTTACATTTTGAAAGTGCAAATCTGCAGTGCAAATTTCTACATTATTATTTTCAACCTTTACTATTGCATTTGTTTATACATTTTAAACAATAATTATAAATTAAATAGTATAAAAACAATAAAAAATCACAACTTTATAATTTTCATATATTACCGGCAATATTTTTGTGATACAATTGAAACTGCAAGTTGCTTTTGACAGTGATGTTTATATGAGTACATTAGATGCACAACTCTGTATTTGCAGGATAAGTGATTTTAAGAAAAACATAAAAAACTGATTTTAAGAAAATTTTTTTGAAAAAAAATGCAAAAATTGTGTAGACGTGCTTTTGGATCATTTTTATTCAAAAAAGTAAAAAAAAATCCTTTAAAATTAGGTATTTTAGTAAATAATTGTAATCAAAAGATTTAAAAACATGGTTTTGCATTTTCCTCTTTTAAAGACCAAGTTTTGCAAGTGAAAAGTGCAAATACCAAAAAATAACAATTAATCAGGTGATTGTTATGTCGTCACGTAATGCGTATACTAGCGACGTGATTGGTCAACAGCAAATACCGAGTTTTGCATCCGACAGGAAGAAACAAATACCCAGTTTTGCATCTGCGTTAAGTTTTTAAATGTTTTTTATTCTACAAATATAAACTTATACATCTGGTTTACTTAGGAATGCTGTAGGCAGTGCAGTAATGTACATAAATATTATAAAATATATATTTTTAAAAATTTGCAAAAACCGAGTTTTGCATCTAATGTATTCATATTTGCGATAAAGAATACTTGAGAGTTCTTGTTTGAGGTTAATATTTTATAGATTTTAACTAACTGTCTAACAGATTTATCAAATTTAGATTTTCTTATATATACGTGGAGCGACTATAATGATCTTTAAAATCGGGAGAAAGTGAGCTTGTAATGAATTTTCTTATTAATTAAAATTGGAGTAAAAAAGGCATGAGATTATGCGCACTATTAGTCTGGATTATCTCACGTGTAATAATATATCTTTATCTACTCCTATTGCATAAATATTTGTTTTTTGCGTATATTATGATAAACATTATAAATTTCTAGCATAAGAATGGGAATAATGAACTCATTATTCACGTTGTTAGGCATTAGCCCATTTCAATATTCAATCCAACCAATCGGGTTTTTAAACTGGCGACTATAATAATATTTAAAATTGATAAAAAGTGAGGTTATTCATTTGACAGATTTAAGTCAGATTTTTTTTTAATCATTTAATTATCCACTTATTGGCGTAGTATTACACTCGAGAATATGCGCATTATCTATCTCCTATATAATAATATACTATTAATCTATCCAGAGCTCAGATCAGATTAAAAAAGAATAAAAAATAGAGTTAAATCAAGGAAATGTTAAAAAAGAACAAAATGTCTCAAAAAAAATTGAGGCCTTGTTTGTAGCAAAATACTTTTTTTGAGTTAATTTTTTTTTACTTTATTAGGAAAATATTTTCTTTATCTATATGATTCCGGTCTTCGTAAACATTTTCTTGAAACATCAATATACTTGTTTTTGGTTTTTATAGAAATAAATAATTTTCTCTGATAAGATTAGTAATTTTTATAAAATTTAATCTTTTCCTTCATAATAAAGGTGACTATTAAAATAAAAAATAAACAATTTTTTCTATTAAAATTGATTACTTTTAAATAATAAATTAAAGTAAAATAACAATTACACTTCTATCTATTGCTAACCGTGCAAAAAATAAAAAAAATGTGTCATGCATTAAAAATATCTTAGTGGGCAATAAAAATGAGTTATTCGATACTCATTTATTTTATTAAAAATAAAAAATGAGTAATGTAAAGTAAGTAAAATTACTCAATAACGTAAACAATTTTAATTTTAAAACTCAAAATACTCATTACAAAATAAAAATGAGTAATGTAAAAAAGAATACATTACTCATTAAAAAAAATGTAATGAAAATTAATTTAATTTTCATTTTAGAAGTAATGCATTATGAAAATTAAACTCATTACTCATTATTTTAATAATGATTATTTCCTTCATTAGAAAATGAACCAATCAAAAGCCTTCAATTTTCGAATAAATTTTGTTTAGATAAGCGATTAAAATTTAATCGCTTTAATCACTAGAACTGTTTAACATCATTAAATTTTAGCCTCCATATTGGATTTTTGTTTGCGATTTTAACGTGTTATTTACAAGTTTTAAGATACATTTTACAGTTATCTAGTTTACGAAATATCAATACCTTTAAATTAATGGAATTTTGTTTATTTTGTTCATACATTTTGACATATATATCATATATATCATATATATATATATATCATATATATATATATATATTTTGACATATATATATATAAACGTCGGATTTTATTAATTTTTAAATAGCTTTGAAGCTAGAAATAATCTAGACGTATATCACTCAACCTATAAATTTAATCTGTAAAACTAGGCCCAGTAAGTTTTTTATTTGATTTTTCTTTTTGGAAAAGAGGTTCATGCAAAATAATTAAAAATAAATTATTTTGCATTCAAAATTTTCCAAGAAAACCCACACAAATAACTACTGAGCCTAGTTTAACCGAATAAATTCATAGTTCTCGTGATATAATATATGAGTATTGAAACCTTAATGCATTCGAAAAATAAGGCATTAGCAGCAACTCTGAATCAATCCTTGCAGTTATCTACCCTTAAGGTTAAAGTACTATTTTATCTACCATTTTTGGACGATAAGGGCAAATTTAACGGAAGCTATAGAAATAAAGATTTAAATAAACTGTTACTGTGGTATTTAAAAAATGCGCTTTTAACCAAATATGTTTTTATTAATTTAAAGTCAAGTACCATTTGGGACACCTTTTGCAATTGAAGTTACTACTTGATTTAATTAAAACCTAAAAAGATCTCTATTCATCTTTAGATAGTCAGTGAGTTAGGGAAGGCAAACCTTTCAAAAATAGTAAAAATAAGGTGTTTTATCTTAGTGGGTGTGTATGTATGTAAGTGTATGTCTTAGGTGTGCCGCGAGTACCAGCGCGGGGCGTGCAAACGGGCCGAGTCTGAGTGCCGATTTGCGCATCCCGCCGATTCAGTGACCGCCAACGAAGACGGCACTGTCACCGTCTGCATGGACGCAGTAAAGGGCCGCTGCAACCGCGACCCCTGCCGCTATTTCCATCCCCCTCTGCACCTCCAAGCCCAAATCAAGGCCGCACAATCGCGGGCTAACGCGGTATGCCTTAGCAGTTTTTCGCCCGCACGCTCGAAACTTCAAACTTTCTGTCTGTCTGTTTTCCAGTTTCGTTTGATTTTTTTTATTTATGTTTTTACTTTAACGGGACATTCTACTGTACATCATGAAAACTAAGGAAATAACCAATTATCGCCAGCCATCAGTTCATCAGATATCATCAGATCTTTTAATAGATGTTATGTTTAGTTATATAAATTTAGAAAATAACTTTTAGTAAATAGATAGAACCTTAGAAATGGTCTAAAAAACAAGGACATACTTGAACAAAACCTTTAGAAATTTGCCATACCTTATAAACTCTTCATAAACCATCATAAACAAACAAAATATGAAAAAATGTAAATTTTAAATAGTTCTGAATTATTTCCTTTTTTTTCGATGTTTAAAAGTAATATGTCTCCTTAAAGGTGGAACGTCCTTTCTAAACAATACTACTCCGACACTCAAAGGTCTTAAAACAACCACGTGTTTACTTATTTCCAAAACTCTTCAAGAATTAAGTACAAAAAAACTTAAATACCAATAAAGTTTATTTAAACCATGTTTTATTATTTATTATTACCATTCTACTTTTGCAAATATCTAGATTCAACTTAATGGTTGGATGTTTTGAAACTTTGAGTGCCTAAATGTTTCTTTTATCTTTGATGTTCCGGTTCTGGTTGTTTAAAATGCTTTCCATACAAAAACTTAATCTTACTACTGGAAAACATTTTAGGCTTATTTGCAAGCTAACGTGCTCTTAGTTGTGTGTTTTTGTTTTTGAATTAACCTGGCGTCGTTATTTTATTTTGAGAACCTTAACGCATTAATTTTTTTTTATGATTTTATCCGTAGTTGAAAACTGTGTAGTGGCAATAAATTCCTGATGCAATGATTAGCGCTATTACCTTTCTCACCTTCCAACTTTGTCTCGTTTTGCTTACCCCAAAAAGATAAAGTTGGATATTAAACGTTGGGTTGTATATGTAATGGATTTTTCCTCATTAGATAAGTCCATTTGCATGTTAGACCCTCCGTTAGAGTAGTGTCTAGTTTCCAAAACTCTGCAAAATTAAATGACCTGATTTGTGAGCATGAATAGCTGGCAAAAACAAGCCCTGCTCCATAAACCTCCGTTGGTATTATTTTTTTAGTTTTCGTACGGATCCTTGCACCGCCACCCAGTGCATTGATTCCATATGTAACTTCTATTAGAAACCCGCTGCTACCTGTATTTGTTCATACCGCGTAAATATGCTGCGATTGTGTTTGTAACATGTTTAAACTGGAACGACATGGCAGACCTGTTAAACGATCTGGAATTCGAAATTTACTTAACTAGGATACCAAATTTATAAACTCATTTTTACATCGTCATTTTAAGTATTTAGATTTGTATATATATATATACATATATTACGGAAACCTTATTGTATTACGTTCCAGTAAGGTTTTTTGACCTAAGCTTACACTTATTAATAACTTAGACCCTAGTAGTGTAGATTTAATTGGGCAAACAAATTACACATGCGTACACAAAATTGTTGACACACTTTTTATGTATACATAACATGTTTTTTTATGTACAATATATAGGGCTTGTTTTGGTGTCCGATATCATTGCGTCAAGAATGACTGGATGTTTTTGTGTTTAATTACATTTTTAATTTTGAATGATTTTCAGGTTTCGACAATAATTATTCTATAACGATTGATAATTGAGCTGTAATTGAAGTTATTTTTTCAGTAAAGATTGATTTGCAAACATGTTTACATTTTCTAAATGTGGTTATTTGAGCTTTCGATTTTTTTAAAGTTGCTGTGATCTTTTGTTTTTAGTACGATGTATTTTTGCATGTAGATATTGTATCTTTTTTTGATATTATTGCTGTAACTATTGCGCAAAAATCCTATAAAATTTCCCGTTGTTTTAAAACACTGGAATTTTTTATTGGATGAGTTTATACAAGATTCTCATTATTGAATAGGGGAAAAATTACAAAACATTCACCACAGTTTTGTACTTTTTTCTTGCTGTCCATTCTCTTTCAGCCAAGGCATGCAGTATAAAAAGCTTCAGATATCACATGGCAGCTTCAGCTGTTTTTTTTAATGACGCCATGTCGCAGCACCTGCACCCGCCCAATAATAACAAAAAATCTTGAAATAATTAATTTTCGGTTAATAATTCTAACAATTTATTAATTGTTCATAATGGATGGTGGTTTTAAAGTTTCACTAAAAATCATCACTTCTTAAACAAAATTAATTTTGCGTGTAATGATGAATCGTTTAAATTCAAGCTGCATAACATGGTGTTTCAGTTTACAATACTGGCTAGGCAAATCTCTATTATTAATTATGTCATATGCTCTAAGCTTTCGTGCTGGCATGTTTTTTAAGGTAATGTAAATTAATTTTATCTAGCAATATTTGCAAACTGAATCACAGTACCAGAGATAAAAAAAAGTGTTTGATCGTTTTGTTTAGTTTTTTGAAAATTAGTAGTAATTTAAATGTTGATATACGATCATGTGGAGTTTGTGACAAAAATTAATTTAGTGCTGGTTTTTTGTTTTTGTTGTCCCTCTGCGACTGTCCCTCGTTGGTGCGTCTCTGCTTGTCTCTGGTATTGTACCAACCGCCACCAAATCAAAAAAATCTGCCTCTGTCTTGCTCTACCAACCCATCGACACCACTACTAATAGCCCGCCAACGCTGTCCCGCCAATGCTGGCGGCACCTCAAGTGGCCGCGGCAGCCGCCGCCCTAGAAATAGGGAAGAAGAGGCCACGCGAGCCTAGTAACGCTGCCGACACTGATTTATTACTGGTACCATTTGCCCAGCCTTTGCTTTTTGCATGCTCTCACTTACACACACTATATGTACATAGTCTAAATCATCCATCCCCCAAAGAAAACATATAGTGACTTTTATGACACTAGGTCTAATTTTAAAAGTAAACAACCATATATTTTCTTTACCACAATTGTTCCCTTACAAGATGTATCGAATTCTTATGAATTCAATGAAGCAAATCTTCTTGTGCAAAATTTTAATCCAAACAAATATTATCTAAATAAGTTTAATTAAAATCATCAGTTATATGATAAAAGAGCTATTTCCGTTTTAAGATTTGTTTCAAGACTTGTTCAATGAACGCCATAGAATATCAGGAAATAAATAAAATGTCGACCAAATGCTAGAATGAGTTTTAAAAAATCATCCGAATAAGTTTTATTAATGCATTTGGAATAATATTCATAAACTGATTTTTGCACTTGGTCTACATTTTTCTTATTTCATTATGTTCTTGGTCTAGTCTCCTCCACTGTATTTATGAAATGTTATCATTTAATTGGATGAAGAAATATTTAAATGTTAACGTTAGTAAATATTGTTTTCATAGAATCCTGCATTAAATTTCTTTTTAAATTTGACATTTGATGAGGAAAACTTTTTGTTCTTTTTTCTAGTAAACGTCAAATGTAATCAGTGAGTTTTGTATTCCGGACTCTCATTTGAAAGATGTAAAAATATGTATCCCTAAATCCAGCTTTTCATAGTGTAATTTAGATAAAACTTGTATGAAAACAAAATTGGTTATCATGTTAAATTAAGGCTTATCTATAGTTAATGTAATAATATTGGACGGGAACCATGGTGGCAATATAATTTTTAATCCAGATTTCCCATTAAATCCTTACGAGCCAATTACGATATTTAATCCCTTATAAATTTGTATTTGTACACAATCGATTTAAAAATATTTAAAAAAATAATAATAAAATTGGGTTAAGTTAATTGGATCACATTTTTATATTTCCCGCACATTTTGTGAATAGCCTGATTTTCATCGCTTTTAATCCGGTATTAAATTTACTGCTTTTTCTTTCTTTTTTATTTTGTGTACACGTGCAATGTTTTCATATCCCGCGCCTTCCTTTTATACACCCATACACAACTAACATCCTTACTCATTGGTAGTGGTTTGCAACTTATAAAGGATTATACTCTCGGGAACTGTATAAAATACTTTACAGAATTCTGTTTATTAAAATATTTACGTTTTTTGCGTTTTGCATTATGTTAATTACGTTCTACAAAATTTTATTTTAATAACGACACCGCATAGAAGGTGACCATGATGAAAACGTACAAAAATCGTAAATAAAACAAGACCAATTCAAGTAGCGTGGCTTAAATTTAAACTAATAACTAAAAAACGAATTTTGGTTTTAAATTTGGTCACGATAATTTTGGGGGTCTTTATAATGTGCTTCACGATCCTAGCATTGCTTTATCCTTTTCGAGAAAATTTCGGTCGAAATTTTTTTTTGTACATACATAGTAGTACACACATTGGCATTTTAAGTAGGATACGTCCAGGTACCAGTGCTTACAGGCGTAACGTTGTGATCGTGCTTTTTTGCTAGTATTTTTTTGCACAAGAGCCAAACAAAACCTGCCACATGACATTTTTCGGGCTTTAGCTTCGACTATTTAATTTATGTAGTCGTAATTTGTGGTTCGCTTTTGTCGAGCTCTGGATAAACAAATTAAAGACACCAATATGCTTTCTGTAGAAACTTTGTAAATAAATAATTTAACGAATTATAACCCTACATAAAGAAACATAAATTCAAGTAATGTAGAGTTATAAGATGTATTTGAAGCGTATTATCTAGGTAAAAAGCCGCTTTTTGTAAAGATTCTATACAGACTTGCGTTGTTTTATTTAGTAGAGAAGTCGCGAACTGCTACCCTATCATAAAGTTGTTAGCATGTTGTGAGGCTGGTTTTTGCTTAGAATAAAATAAAAATCGTACATTTATAATGGTATAAATGGAAGATAATCCTAAAGAACCTTTGCTTTATTTTGGAGCTTATGCTTTCTACCATTTTTTGAAGTGTATGCATGACAAACAAAAATTGGCTTAAATTATTTACATAATAACTCGGTGTATTTATATAATATTGTGTTGTCACCAATGTGACCATATAAAGGGCGTTTTTTTCTTTTTAATTATATTTACATATATAGAAACTCGCAACATTCTAGCAACTACAATTACAGCAAAACTATTGTTGATTAATTTTATTGTTTGTGATGATTCATTAATTTTGATGTTTTGCCTGCCACAGGAAAATACCAAGAAGCTGGCGGAATATCATTTTTTGTAGACTAATCTAAAACGTGCACCTTTGCAAGTCATCGCTTTTAATTTCAACTAAAGTTGTTTGCCACCTAACAAGCGGCCAGTTTATTGTGTAACAACAAACATTCTGATGTCGATGACTTCCAAACTTACACGCACTGTTGTCTTAACCAAGTATCGTGACTGCATACTAAAACTTGGTTTTGTTTTTGTTCTTTCAGATGGATATGAAGTCAGTTGGATCGTTTTACTACGAAAACTTCGTAAGTATAAGTTTCATTAGACCGCAACTTCTATCTATTGCATTTATTGTTTAAACATAAGGCTTTGTTTTTGATCATCAGAGGACGGAACGTGCGTACTAATTTGTTGTTTATTTTAGCAGGGCTTCCCTGGCATGATGCCGTACAAACGGCCAGCAGCCGATAAGTCTGGAGTTCCTGTTTACCAGCCGAACGCCACAACGTACCAGCAACTGATGCAGTTACAGCAGCCATTCGTGCCCGTGTCATGTGAGTATTCTGCGTCCCCCGCTCCCCCGCCCACCACCTGTGCTTCGCCTCCCACTCCCGACACCGCTTCCCAACAACAATCACAGCAACATCCCCTTGGCTCGTCCACCCCCACCGCTCAGCAACAACAGGCCGCAGCTGCCGCTGTCGCTGCGCACATGAGCAAACAGCAGCAGCAGCAGCAGAGCGAGAACGAGAACGCAGCTGCTGCGCAGCAAGTTTTTAGCGCGCATTCGGTCGCCACCAGCGCAGCCGCCAATGCAGTCGCTGCCGCTGCTTTGCTCTCGAGTCAGACGAACACGATTCACGACCCAGCCGCGCTTGCCAAAGAGGTGGCGCAGCAAAACTACGCCAAAGCCGTCAAGATGGCGCAAGTCAATCAAAGCATAGCTGCCTCACAGCTGCAGCAACACTTGAACCCGCTAAATTACACCGGCGTGGCCTTAAACAAGCAGACGTTGAGCATGCCGCCTCCCACTTACGCGCGTTTTCCACAGCTACCTCTCGGTTTTACTACCAATTTAAATCTTGGTCATCTAAATCATTACCAGGCGGCCGCCATGGCCCAGCAAAACCTGCTAAACCTGACCCGACCCCCGCCCTCTCATATGATTAACCCGTACTCTCTGATGAGGAACCCGTACGCCACCACAGCCCCACAAGGCGCTAACCCCACCTTTAGCAACGGCCTACTTGGCGCACAGTACCCCGTGACCGTGTCCGCCGCCCCAATGACGAACGTCTCCGCCACGGCAGCGGCCGCCGCCGTCGCGCAAAACAACAACAACAACGTTGTCATGCAGCCGTATAAAAAACTAAAAACCACCTAGGATTACCTGTTGATGTTTTAAAATCGTGTTGTTTTGTTTTAGTTTTCGTAATATTTTTAATAATCTGTTTTTGATATCAAAAATTTAATTTAATTAAGTGTTTTTTGTTTTGACCTAAATTTAACTATTGATATAAATAAAGTTTTTTAACGTCTTAAACGAGGAAAGTCTAGTCATGTAAATGTGAATCCTAACGCGTGTTTTTTCTTTGTACATAACTGAAATTGAACACGAAGCTGGGCGATGTCGGGTGCGACACTGGACCAAGCGAGTGCCTAAAATCTGTGATACCCTCACAAAAGAAACCTAAATGCTAAACTTGCACCGCTTCTCTAACATCCCTCACATAAAAATCCCTACTACATCGACTCTTAATACTAGTTAAGTTATTAGTATTATTATATAAAAATATATAGATATTTGGTGGATAAGATTTTACTAGTATCTTTACCATGGATCGTGGAATTCAAATTTGTTATTTGCATGATGTAAAAGATATATAAACATTTATATTAAAACTATTTGAGAGCCTATTTTCAATCGCATGGTAGATACTGAAAGCGTTCGTTGTATTTGTTATTTAGAAGTGCCATTCGCTAAGTCTGTAGTTTTGTAACTGACCCAAAAAGACACCAGCCATCTCTATCTGTCTATCTGTTTTTCATTTTTATTATTATTAGTTGATTTTTACAACATATGCCTACATACCGCTCTGTGTTTTTGTGTATTAGTTCGGTTATTTGCATGGGGCTTCGATTTTTAATACATGTTATGCATGTCGTTTACCGAAAAAAAAATGAATATCTTTAATACCGAATTGGTTTGGCACCTCAAGACTAACACGCCGATTCCTACAAATACTACACACAGCATTAGCCTTCGACATTTCACATGTCACGTGTATGTATGATAAACATTTGGTAAGTCATTTATTCTTTATTTATAGCTTTAGAAATTGGATTCTGCATTTGGACTGTGTTATAAACTGTAAAATTGCATTTTATTCACATAAAATGCAGCGCTCAGGCTTCAATATGTTAAAAGCTATTAACTGTCATTGCCTATGGGGCATTTCATACCAAATCGACCAATTTTGACCCCGACCCCTTACGATTAGGCTAAAACTTTTTATCTTTTTTTTTACCCTATTAAAAACATTTTTACCCAACCAAAAAGTGATTTTTTTTTTAAATTGACTTATTGGAACGTTTTTTTTTTTTAATTTTAGTTTTTAAATCGTTCAGCGTTTTTTTTTAATTTTTGGAATTAAACGAAAATTTCTTGATGATTGTCATTTTTTGGTTTTTTTTTCTTTTTTTGTTATATACTGATATTTTCTTCAAATTCTCTAAAATTTTCAGAGTGACGTTTTTTCGTTTTTTTAATTTTTTTTTTAATTGGAAAAAAACTTATTTAACTTGGCTTATTTCTCATAATACCACTCTCGGAGTTTTTAAGGTGGTAGACAACCTTAATGTTTAAAAATAAAATTTAAATAAAACAAAATGTTGTTTTTCCAGAAAGTTAAAAAAAATAGATAGATCTGAGTAATTTTTTTAATATTTTTTTAGATAGATCTGTATAATTTGTTTAATATTTTTTTTAAAACTACATTTAAAAACAAAGAACTAAGTTTTTTACGTAATAAAACAATAAAAAAGAAGTGTTTCCATTATAAATTAACCACTTAAATTTTTTTTAAAAGCCTGTTTGTCAAAAAATGAACTATATATCACTTTTTTTATTTTCTTTGCTTTTAAATGTGTTTTAAAATAAAAAGTAAAAAATTATTCATAACTTTATTCTATTTTTTTTTACTTTTTTCGAAAAACATTTAATTGATTAGGTACCACCAATTTCGTTTATTATTTTTTTTTTCAAACTTTAGCCAAATCGAAAGGGGTCGGAGTCAATTTGGTATGAAATGCATGCCCTATATATTACTGATAAAAATGCTTTATTAATATCTTTAAAGTACATTGTATTATTCACACCTCTTATAAATGTTTCTGCCAAATGTTAACTTTTAGTTAGTTAAGGGTGCCCAAACCTTTTAGGTTTAAAAAACGACGATATTAAAGTTGCGTATCTTTTTGGGTTAGGCGAACATACCGGTCCCTTGGTACGCAGTTATTTAGTTTTTCCGAGGTCTGTACATAATAGATTTAAATATTTATTTCAATAATATTAACCCACATTCCTGAAAAGTAAATAATTTGCTGCCAACGGGCAACTCTTTTGTAATTTTTAATTTGTTCCTTTGTCGTTTTTATTAGTTGTTTTAAAGAAATATTTTTGTGACTTTGTTAGTGTATATTAATTAATTTAATGATATATTAAGACATGCAGTTTTGCGTCGGTTGTTAATTTGTCTTCCTACGTTTGATCTCTAAGCACAAATGTAGAAAAGTTTATTTTTTCTGCGTGTCGTTTTCATCCTATCTGTAGAAGTCTTGTATCTAGAGCGAATATTGAGTCCTAGTGCAATTTCGTAGTGTTTAGTTCTTGTTTACACTAGTATTTGTAAAATACATTTTTGCTTTAAAAAAGTAAAAAACGGTTTAGATAGTCTATTTTTATTTAGTTGTAGCCGTACTTTCTAATCACACAACGAAAGTATTGTCGTTAGTCTTATACTGGGTATTCGCGATCTATTTGCAAGATTTCAAGTATCTTAATCTCTAAGATATAGGTTAGATATATAGATATAGTCTTGTGATGTATTATACAGAAAATTATAAAATGTGTCTTATTAGTTTTGGCATTTAAAAATGATACACCATATTATGATAAAAATTGTGATGCATGTATTAGATATAAAAAAACTTAAAAAGTATTATATTAAGATATCGTTAAAAGGATTTGCATTTTTAAGTAGGTTTTACAATGTACAAGTCAGGTTAGAACCGCTATTCGCTATCGTTGCACGTCCAAAATGAATCTTTTCTAATTTCATTGCAGTTAAGAAAATCACTTGTTAGCTGCAAATGCAAAATTTTGGCGGGTAACGATAGAAAATGGTTAGTTAGACACAAGTAAAGGCTCTATTTGCTAGTAGTAGTAATTTGTGGTAACGGCGTAATCAGCTGCCAGCCATCTTTGATCTTTGACTTACAATAACGTAGTGCCTTGAGGCTGCTGATCACGCTTTCGCAGTGGTGTGGGTCACAAAAGCCATCTATTGTTTTTTTTCTCGAAAAAAAAGAAAATATATAAACCTCTCCATATTTATATTATTTACTGTGTATTGTATTGTTCTAATCCTCCAGGTGTATGTATATCACCGCTACTATTTGTAATAATAATGCTTGAAAATGCATGAATTTGTTTTATTAATCATTGCTTATTATTTGATTATCTCCTTCCGAATACGAATACCTTTCGACTGCGCAGCCGTCGCTTTAGATGTAATGCTGACTTGCGTTTGTTTATAAAAAAGGTGTATGGTACTCTCACACGCTAACTCTTTATCTAACATATCTAGTAAATTACGCCACAATATATTGAAATAAAACATGTTGCTTTTTCACAAATCATCGAACCCAATCGGTTTCGTTTGGAAATGTAGTGTCAATAACCAAAAAAATATTGTACTTTTAGATAATTCTGCACAATTTTGTATCTTTCACTTTTTTCGACAAACCTTTACCGGTATTACATTTAAGTGATATCTGCCTCTGCCACTTTCCTTTCTTTATTTTTAAACAAATAGCTTATGTTTTTTTTAAACTGAAATATGTTTTGTACAGGCTGTTGAGTTTCCTATTCCTAGTCGCTTGCCAGTGCTATTTACATTTTATTTTTGTGTTTTAAATGTTGAGAAACATAAAAATGTCATAGCTTTCATACAAAACTAACTAACACTCGTTGCTTAATCACGCCTCTAAAAAGGGTCATGTTGTGGGGACTAATTTAATAATTTTTAACACAAAACACTGTAAACATACTTGTTAAGGTAGGTCGTCCCAAAAAAACACCCTTTTTATTGGCCAAAAAATCTATACAATACGTCTTCATTTTAAACACAAAAATGCAATGGTTTCGGTTTCAGTTCGACTAAAATTAATTTTGGGTAATTTTGTTGCTTTTTGTTAGTTTTAGTTGAATTTTAACTATTTACATATGGAAACGCGTTTGAAAAGTTTATCGGAAAACTTATTGCAAAAATAAACTTCCAGTTTCTTTTAAAAATAGTTTAGATGAACTTTTCTGCTTGTTAGTATGTGTGGGTGGTTTAAACCTTAGATTCGCTCCAATAAACACACCAAAATTCAATACATAAAAATCATTATCTCATTTTAGTACCCTATTATTTGTTTTTTGGTGGTTTATTGTTAATGGCAAGTGTCCTTGATTGATCCTGTAAGCAAACCTATACACTGAAAAGTTTCTATAGCAAAGGAAAGCTTACTGTATTGAAGAGAGGAAGCCAGAGCCGTATCCAGCCGCTTGTGTAATGTGCAAAAATATTGCCGCTGCCTTTTGAAATTACCAGAGGTGTTTAACTGTCTTTTTACCAGCACATTTCTTCTATACATACATACAACTAAAATTATCATTAGCACATTGCACAAGGCTATTAAAAAAAGTCAAAAAATGGAGGAGCTTTTAAGTGGAAAATTGACTAACCAATAGTGTTACAGACGTTCGACTGTAGAATTTGCAATGAGTCTTAGAGGCTTTGTATATTTCGAATGATTCCTTTATTTGCTAAACCTTTTTGTAGCTTGTAGTAAGTAAAAGAAAATGTATTAAGTAGGTAAATGGAGATTTATATATAAGTATACTTATTATGAATTTTATAACATTTGACATTATTTGTTTTATATTATTTGAAGACGCCATATTTAATATGTTATGTTTGCAGAATCCAGCCGCATAGACTAATTGTAGCATCGCAGACTTGTTCTACACGTAACAGCTTTTTACTCATTATTTAATTTTTTAACAGTAATATATGCTTCTTACCGCTTTTATACTACCTACTTTGACCTTAGCACTTAAAAATTGTAAGTAATTATTTTTTATTATTATTTTTTTATATCGCCTGTTTAATTTTTTACACCCATTTTTGGTAGTAACCTGTATTTGTTTCCAGACAAGTTTTGTAATTATAGTTTTAATTTGAATATTTACTTTTTAGGTCAAATTAATACGAATTACAAAATTTTTCTTTATTTTTTTTATTTGCAAACATGATTTAATGGATCTAGCATGTCTATTACCTTAATTTGTAATTATTTATCAATATTACGTAAATTTTTTATAGTTCATCAATATACATACTATGTTCAAACTTTTAAAATATTTAAATGTTAGTTAACATAGTAAATTGTACTTACATTCATTGATGTTAATTTTATGATTCGCAAAATTTATTATTAGTTGAATGCATTTGCCTGAACCTCCTCAAAATTTTGAGGGGGTTGCCTGTAGTTTATTTTATTAATTGAATTATCTGCATCTTTGTTTCATGCTTACCTTACTGGAATGCCCTAAACAATTTCCTCCTATTTTAACAACAAAAAATAATTTAAATTGCAAAACTTTTGCTCATTTGGCCGCTGGATGTTTTGTGGACGCCATTTTGTGTCGCACACACACCACCAAACCATAACCTCACTAAATACTGGATCGCATGCATTTTATTTACATTTTAATTATTATTTTAACTGTATCTGCAATGGTGGGGGCATAAAACCGCCTTATTTTTTTGGCTGCAATATTTGTTGCCTGTGATGACGCTTGACGCACTACTGCATGAATGCGTAGATTCTGGTGCCCAAAACAACGCTCCATTTGTGATCTACACAGACGAAGATGGACAGGTATTCACGTATAGTTTTGCTCGTGATCGCTAAAAAAATACCTAAAAAATTCCCTTGTATTACTTTAATTTTGCTTCGGTAAAAAAATAGTGTTCAATTAAATATAAGTTTTATTACATTTTTGTCAAATTTGGCGTGATCATAGTCATTTTACGGGTACATTTTAGGTATCACGAGTAATATTTCCAACAAGATTTATTTTTGCAAGGCGTTTATATGTTCTACTGTTCAATACAACGTCTTATAACAAAAAATCTTAGTGTATAACAAGTTACAATGTGTATTCATCTTATTTTTTGCATTTATTACTTTTCCCCTTTTTAAGCTAAAAGAAACTAAATATTATGATTTCATTAACTTACTGTTAATAGCATTTTTATTTAAAATAATATATTGAGAATATTGCAGATATTTAAAAGAAATAACAAAAATGATTTAATACATGTATACCTATTTTTGGCGAATCATGTCATTTGTTTATGCCAATACATAACATAAAACTATCACAGGACCAATAATGAACCCGAAATTGTTGGAAAATTGGGAAATTTTTGCAGTCATATATAACATTGAGTTTATTGCTAACCTCTTGCTATTTTATTTTATTCAAGATACAAAATGCGCCTCTATATGAGAAGCTTACTTGCAAGACGAATTTTTTAAATATAGGTAATCATTTTCAGGGTAGAGCAAATTTTTGCTCTACACTAAATCAAGAAATTAGTTTTTGTAAAAAAATCTAAATTAAAGAAATTCAAGACCCTTTGATTCGAAAATACCCCGATTTGATCCGAGCAATTATGTTAGTCGATATAGTTTACCTTGAAGCACCTAACTGAACCTATTTCTGAAAACGCAAAAACTGTTCTGCAAAGTAATAATAATGTCTTTATTGAGTGTAAAAAAAATTACAAACAAAAGGCGAAGTTCAGTACCCTACACTACCTAGTAGTCGGTACCCTAACACTAGGTAGTTTAAAAAAGTAGCTTTTAAACAAAATTTTATTTAAAAAATGTATTCTAAAAAGGCATAATCTCTTATATTCTATGTAATTTTAAAAATAATTTAAGTTGTGTATTTGTGTAATTTCTTTAATTTAGTTTTTGGTTTTTATCAAATAAACGATACACCTTGTAACTTGTGAATTTTGTAGGCATTTTGTAAACTAATAACAACTAACTTATTTACAAATTGACTACATTAAACAATTTGCTTTTGAAAACAATTTAGTAGTAATGCTGGTAGGTATATAACAAACGCAGTTATCAAATGATATAAACAAAATTTAACAAAAAAGTTTTTAGTGGTTTTGCTTTGATCAGCGTTAAAAAATAATACAACGTCTTTATCCATACAGATTTTCAAACATTCTGCATGACACACACTACCTTATACCATTTCTATTTTTTATTAACACAATGCTTTTTGGTTTTGGCCTATATACGCGCCCACGGCTTTATTGTATTATGATATTTTCTGGCTGAGACTGAAAAAAAGTAGTAAAATGTATTTGCCGTTCTTTATTCCTACCGCCTATAGCCACATGTTGTAGACATTAATTTTACTTGTATAGAGCTTTTACCGACGATGTCTAAATTTAAAGAAATATTGTTCTCTTCGTTTTATTGTAAGAATAGTCTTAGTGCAGAATGATTGAACTATCTTATATTTATTAATTGATGCCAAATACTGTTTCGAAGTCCTCTTTGTAAAGTATTGTGGTGTAGAATCGACACATACTGACAAAAAATTTTGAAAAATAACACATTAAACAATTGGCATGTGCATAATAAATTCTTGTGAATGAAATTTTCCATGACGATAGATTTGTGTAGTGCTTATGTATGTTTTTAGATATTAAAATGTTATGAATTTTAACGTAACGTTACCCATACATGCGCACAACTGTTTATTCGACTTTTTTACCCGAAATTATTTTTCCTATACATGTGGTTTTTTAATATTGTTTTTTTTTTAGATAAAATATTGCAAGGTACTTATTTTTTATGTTGTTTGTTTTTCAGTTACTGGACACCCTCCCGGTGTGCCAAGATTTTAATCGTGGTCTTTGTAACCGGCCTGCCTGCAAGTTTGTACATCTACAGGAAGGTAAGAAGTTATTTTTTTAATAAATTAAGGATTGTGGTTAAATGAAACAGAGTTAAATCACGTTTTATCAGTACATTTTTATTTTGGCTCTCATACAGGATTATATATTAAAATTAATAAAGAACGAATATTTTTAAATTATTAAGAATTGTTTTTTAACTATTATTACTTATTTTGCCTGTTCTGTGATCTTTGGATTGCTTTTTATAATTAGTCCATTTTTGAAGTGTATTCGTTTAATTTAAATATTCACACACCAATAAAAAAAATTAAGACATGTTCAATGATTTAATTTGTAATGAGGATGAAACTCCTACAAAAATCACGTAATTAAATATATATTTAAATACCAAATTTTCAACAATCTGGAACTTTTACTTTAGACATAAATTTGACCTATTCCATAATTTAATGGGCAAAAGACAAAAAAAAATTGTTATCACAATACCAACTTTTTGTTTAGGTATTCACATTATGGTATGTTCTTCATATACAATTCATATTTAAAATATTATTTAATATTTTCAATATTGTTTTGTAGCTGCTTTGTTGGTAATAATGGAATAAGTCAAATCACCTTTAAAATTAGCTTATATTTTGGCGAATGCGCCGGGATTAATAATATAACATATTATATTAAAATGTAGGAACTTTTTTGTCCCAAATGTTGTCTTAATGTTTTTTACGTCAAAAACTTTTTTAGAAATTGCTCTAGGAATGGTTATGGCCAGGGCCATTTGTTTTAATATACATATCTCTTTACCTTCATTAAATGTAATTTTTTTTTACAGAACTAAAGATTAACATTACAAAAATACTTTCAATTATTAATAATATTAAATATACATTTCTTTTTCTTTTTAATTTAATATTTTTTACAAGTAAAACTACAATAGTAGTTCATTAGAAATACAACTCGTATGCATTTTACGCTAAATCGGCAACTGTTAAAACCTATCTCTTTTAATTTGTTTAATATATGTTATCCCGCCAAAAACTATTATTTTTTTCAATTTAAGCCAACCGAATAATTAAAAAAAACTGGTGCCTTGTTTTCAAACGCTTTTTTAAAAACTGACTGTGTGAATTTACCTTTATTTTAAAAATGACACAATGATACAATAAAAATTGTATACCTATTTTAAGTTACTTAATTCTTATTGACTGTATCATTTTTGTAACTGAGGTAAATTTAAATAAAACGTCACCGAATCTGGTGACCCTGACTTAAAATTTATTATTTATTTATTAAGATTTAAATTTTTATTAATATTAAATGAAAATAGTTTTTTTCGGTAATCGTTTCAAGAAGTACTTTCCAAAAACGAGGTCTTTTACAAAATTTCGACGTATATTTAGCATGAGACCTGGCAACATTGCACAGGAATGATACATTCCCAGGGCTGGATGCTCCCGTGTACGAGTTTTGGTTCGTGCCGCGCATGACGTCACTTGATGAGTAGTTGCCGTGCGAATACACGAATAATAGTAATAAAAAAGTAGAGTAGTAACGCCATCAACCTATCCAGCTTACAGGCAAAGCCTATAAGGTTCGGTTCTTCAGCGGGACCTACTGTTTAACGTGGAATCCGAACCACAGTCCTCGATGAGTTAGACTCATCTACCGACTTTCAACGCGCACAACACCCAAGGCTGTGACCGGGAATCGAACCCGCTACCTTCGAACGCAGTTTGTCTCGGCAAAGTCGCCTAACCCACTGCGCTACCAGTGGCCCCTAATAGTAATATTATCAAAGAAAATAGAGAAATATCTGGACATAGTGCGTTTTTATTAAACTTAATATTGAAGAAAGTGTTTTAATATGGATAATAGATGCTTTCAGTCATTGATAACATTGAGGGCTGTAGTTTAAGCGTTGGTCTTTTAAATTAAACTTTTAGTCACTGTCCAGAAATTGTTTATAGGAAACAGAAGCGGTCTTAACGTTAATATTGTCTATTCTTTTTGTGGCATTTAACCACTGTTTGCACAAATCAGTGTTTTTCGGGAATCGATGAAATTTAATGTTTTTATTTAAATGGTTTTTCTTGGACTGATTTTCCGAATTGCATCCAAATATGCCACACCGCATTTTAATAAATGCAAATGGCACTACACAAACTAAAGTTAACGCAATACAAAAACAATAATAAACAAACAGAACATGTTAACAAAACGCAATAACAATAATTTGTATACTGAAAAGTAATTCGAACCTTACCGAACGCAAAAACAACAAGTTAAACAAAAAATAGAGCAAGTTAACATCCAACAGCATCGCAAAAACAAGAATTTTAGCAGCAGATAATTAAAAAGCACGTTAAAGATTTAAATGCTATTAGTAATATGTGAGTTGGGAAAAAACATTCACATGTTTTATTTGCTTCTTAGTCTACACGTACAATATGGTCTAAATCATTTTTTACAAATTGCAATTTTTTTTTTAAATTGTCTTCTATTTTATGTTTAATTATAATAATAAGTTTATTATATATATTTTTTTTTTGTTTTAGGAGAAGGGGTGGAAGTGGTTGATAACCGAGTTGCAGTGTGCCGTGACGCCGCCAAGGGCCAGTGTTCTAGATCCGCTTGTAAATATTACCACATCCCCGTGGCACTGCCCCCTGCCCCCGTCATGGCGGCGCTATCGTCCTATCGTCACTAAAACAAAAACAAACAAAAAAACAGACAAAAAAAAAGAAAATCATTCACCTCAACAACGACACGTTTTACCGAATCATTGATGATAAAATGTTTATATACAACTTTTTATTCTAATATTACTATAATTGTATTGTCATAAAATGACTAAAAATTTATTATTATTGTGTTTAGTACTGTTTACAATGTTTTTTTGTTAAAAACTATAGTATAGTAAGTAATGACTGAGTGAATGAAGGATGAGTCGAACGATCAAATTTTTTATATAAATGATTTTTGGGTATGAGTTGCATTTTGTATTTTTCTCAATAATCAAAACATGACAAAAACTCATCTGGTAGAAAACCTTCCCTATTATTACCCAGTGTAACTTGTACGTACTTCTCTGTTGAAAAACGTAAAATACCTAATATAAGCCACAAGCCACCCCATAGTGCATAAGGCTCTCTAATAATTTGTTTATTTCATGGCCACCCCTATTAGATAAGTAAATCTTATGATAAACTATTGACGTCCCATGGGTTTAAAACCCCGATAGCCATAATTCGCGCGACAATTCATTTTTTCGTTTTTACGTTGGCATCTTGCCGGCACCAAGACTTTAATACTTTTTACATTACAGGATTTTTGGATTCGATTTAAAGGTAATCGTCACAAAAACGACTTGATCGATGTGTTTCGTATGACGATGAATATCGATAAAAAGGTTTTTGTGTATAGCGGTAGATAAAAATGTATGAAATGAATTCGGATCGTCGAATAGGGAGATATCTGGACCTATCAGTTTTATTCCATAAAATGGAATTACTTTAAGATTTTCTCTGATTATTTGCTGTGATTCAATAAGGTGTTGGCGCATGAATCGAGTACTAACCTTATTTTTAATTTTTGTGCATGGCCAGAAAAACAACGTCCAAAATTTTAAACAATTACAATAATTGTGATTATATCAAATTTTATTTGTATTCAAATAATTTATCCAGAAAATGATAAAAAATGCATACAAATGTCAAATCAATAACAATACAGATCAATAATTATTATTGATTTGTATTTTTAGTGATTTGAGATTTTTATACATTTTTTGGAAGTTAAATTATTAATTCCAAAAATTACAATAAAAACAACAATAAATTAACATGTTTATTGAAATTTGCTTGATATCTATATAAAGTAATAAACCAATTAGAGCATGGTATCCTTCATCGCACCTAGTTGGTTGTAAAAAATGCAATGTAAGTAATTGGTTAATTGTTTTCTATAGAGATCATTTTCCCCACACCAAAAACGTCAAATAATGTACAGACTAAATTGTTGTTTTAACGGTACTTAGCACTTTTCGATAATTTTTAAGTTGCCTGTACGGTTTAAACAAAATAATAGCGTTAAACGGAGAATTACTTTTAATAACCTCGGGCTAATTGATAGATATTGGTCTAGTCAAATCGATTGAAAATCTTTTATTTTGTTTCTTTAATTTTTTTGGAATGTGTGTGATTCTGTTGATAACTCGATATCTCCCAAAATCAAGTGCCACGCAGTAAGCTTGTAAAACGAAGTACTATGTTCCTGAAAAGCATTTACGTAAGAAATATTTTCAAAAAATAATATTAAATAAGGGGGCGACATATTTTTTGATATCGGGTGGTCGGGATTGACAGTGTGAGTGATTATTAATATATTGTATATAGATATAGGTTGTAACGGACAAACTCGCATTAAAGAGTTACTTTAATCGTATAATAGTGTACTAGGTCTAACAAATTTAAATTTAACCATTAAACAAAAACAACTTGGTGCGTACATATGTTCTGCGCACCCGTTCTGGTCAAACGGATTTTTTTTATTTTTTCAGCAACTCAAACGTCCACAGCAAAACTTATTTTTTTAAACTACCATTAACGTACTTTTAGGAAACAGCGGTTTAAGAAAATGATTTGCAAAGTTGAAGTATCAAATCGCTAAAATAGATAACTAATCCCTCTTACACTTCTGTAAGGTCAAGAAAATGCAATTGCTGGACATAAAAAATGTTTTCTCTTTCCAGAACGCGGTGTCACAGACTCGGCCATAAGTTCTGGTCTTTCCCTTTATATACAAAAAAATACCAAGAATCAAGATAGAGTGAGAGCTTCCAGTTTCAGAGCAAACGGGTCTCTGCTTGTCGCTTAGTGCATTTGCATACATTTTCTAGGTTTTAGCCTGTGTATTGGGTTGCGTTATTATCGTGTATCCCGCAGTCCTTTTTAAAGGTGGCGCTACGTGCGACTGATCATCATCTAAGTTGGTTTTTATCGAGCGCCATTTTGGTGACAATTGTCCGATTTCCCCGCCGCGCAACATGTCTCCGTTTTAAACCGAATTATAACTAAAAGTATATTTAGATGTTAATAGTGTTTATATTTTTGTATGCGTTGCAATGTTTCTTCAATACCTTTGTGACCGTTGTGACAAAACAAAAAGGAGTGTTTGTTTTTTATCGTTTTGGTTTAGAATGGAAACGTGTTGTTAATTGATTATATTAGTCCATAGTATAGCTTAACCTAGAATAATTTTTCCTAACATATTATATTGCATGCCCCTAGTTACAAAACTCTTATTCTACCTATACTTAAATATAGTTACATAGATTTAGTAGTTCCTTAGCGATATTTGTTGTTTTTGGTTTTGCTGAACATGGCAAATCTTCTTTGAATTTTTCGCATTTTACGCATTCTTGACCCAGCTTGTTTTTACGCTTCGCTTAATGTTACTTTTTTAATATATAATTTGTTTTTCTCATCATCTCATGATGTAAGATCATGACAATGATTTCAGTATTTTTTGTTGACCATTGTTAAGGGAGGCACGTTTCCAAGGGAAACACAAACTCTAATCCAGTTTGGCTTCCATTTTTCGACTACAGTTTAAGACAAATTTAGTGGTTTCCTTGGCCATCTCGAACCTCCCTATCGTTTGTTTTAAATTCTAATCTTTATTGTATATTGTTGTTGATGATAAAGATTTATTAAATTTCGGTAATTTTACTATCAGTACTACTTTTCTATTGTACCGAGTCCTTCAAGTGTAATTTTTTCGATATGCAATAAACCGTACCACACACACCTTCAAGCCAAAACATCATAAGCAGAAAAAATATTACAACGAAACCTTGAGGGGTATGTTTCGATAAAAATTTACCAAATAAAGAAATTCACAAGGCTGCTTTTAAATATTTTGCTATGCTTTCGCGCTAAAATCGGCCAGCTTTGCTGAGAAATAGATCTAGCACTCTGTTTTTCTGAAAACTTTTTTATGCTTCGGTTGTTGTTATTAAATATACAGGGCCGTCTCCAGAAGGATCATTTAAATTTTACTAATTCACAAAAGTGGAATTTTGGGTGGTCTTTTTGAAACGTTTCTGTGTTTATAGTTAGGCCCGTCAGTTATCTTTTTTTTTGTGAAATTGAATATATTTTTATATTATTTGTTGTTTGTTTTTATATACATTTTTTGTTGATCGGTAACTGACACCACGGCGTTTTGTTGTCTGATATTTTTCTAGCAGCGTATTGAATATTCTATATTTAAAAAAAACCTGAAGAGAAATGGTAATAAGCTGCCCATCTTTAAATCTCGTTGTTGTTATTAATATATTTTTGAACCACCGGATAAAGTTCGTCATTGACAATCGAATGCGTTTAGTTTTAAGTCAAAATTTGTTGTGATTTGTTATTAAAAATTCTGAAATTTTATTTATTATTTATGTTTATGTGTTTTTGTAAAAAGTGTTTGGTTTCTGTGGATTTTGGAAACCATTTGATTGTCAGTGGAAAGGTTTATTTGAAAATTAAATTACCTGAAATGGCTAGAGTGAGTGAGCCACATAGGAAAGGACTTTTCTCTAATCAAATGCAGTATAATATTTGTATAAATATACTTTGTACATATAGTGGCTCATTATTTTTTCATTTTATCAACAACAATTTTGTGATATTTTAGTAATGATTGTTATTTAAGTCACATCACAAAGCAAACAACTAGCTGTTTGCGCCACCTGCTGGAAAACGATCTAAAAACCCACCTATTCATACCTACCTTTAAGTGTTCGTTGATTTTCGGCATAGCTCGGTTTCCAGCAGTTCTGTTAAGCAGATGTCAAAAATCGCTTCACTCGTCGCGAGTCCGTTTACTTAGTCTTAGATTGGCGGGTGAGGCGGCTTTTTGGCGGGATAATTTTAAGAATCTATTCACAATAATCCTGTAAAATGCAAGGTTGTTCAAGAATGAGGAGAAAATAATTCGCGTTAACGAAAAAATAAAAATGCAGATTATTTTTTGAAGAATATAAAGATTATGAAATATATTAAAACTATATATAGGATATTAAGTAATGATCAAGTGTAAAATATAAAATTCATGATATTGGACATTGTTTCTCCTTGTTGTTGAACATATAGGAAGAAAACCATCGGCTCCATTTCGACACCCGTTAATGATTTATCACTTTCATTTTACTCCCAAATAAGTGTTGATATTAAAATTATTTATTCTTGTAAACTCTTGTATAAATCCTAATTATTTCGGGTTTGTCCAACTTTGCCGATCGCTTTCTTCCTGAATTAAAGAGCGTGTGAACTTATGTATTTTGATAAATTGTGTGATTACGCCGACGAATGTCCCTTGCCTTTAATTTTTTTGTCAGGATTTCGTTTTTATCAATTTTCTTGACATGAAATTTTGTGCCATAACAGATCAGTCAAATAAGATCATTCCAGCAACTCGTATATACAACGTTGTTTGTACACCCGAACAAAGTTTGATGATAATTATAATTATTTATTTAATTATACTTAGTGTTAGTCGAGTAGTCAGGCATTTTGTCAAGTCAGCGTTCACTTTATGTCTTATAGACATGGTATTGATTATTGAATATATTATTATTGTTTATTATTAATTAAATATAAGAATAAACTAATGATGTGATGATGATCGTTAGATCATACTAATGGGGCCTAAGGGCCTCTCATTTTCTGAATATAGTAGAGTTAATAAACATTATGTGAAATTTTACACGACTTTAATTTATCCATTACCTTTAAAGATTGTTTAATAAACAACCCACAAGTCCAATGCATTAATAAAATACAAAATTTTGTTAACAAAAACGATATTATTATGTTTTAAAATTTCCTTTAGGAAGATCAATACTATTTTGTAGACGTTTTATTTTTTTGGTTGAGTTTCCTTATCTTTGCGATTGCAATTGCTGTTTGCAATCAAGTTCCTGTGTTGATGTTATGCGCAAACAAATCTTCTTGACGGCTAAATTTTCGTGCAATTCATGCTCGTTATCCTAATGCTTAAAAATGACCTAATCTCGCGAAAAGTCACATAACGATCTTACAATATCAGTTCGCGTACAGCATCGATGTTTTCTGGGACATCAGATATTAGAAGGCCTTTGTCCTTCAGTAAATTTAGAATTTTCAAAACTACCGATATACAGTGTCTTCCCAAGCTGATTGTGTCAAAAGGTTTCTATTTGGCGGCATTTTAGATTCATGTTGTCTGATTTGTTTTAAAAATGTGTGGGACAGACCGTTGATAGAAAAATAAGGAACGATTGGACGAAGAAGATGCGGCAACAGTTTTGGCTTTGGGCGACGTTAGAGCAAACGGCAAAATCTTATTAAGACGTTGGGCAGCAGAACTTGGCGTGAGCAAATCACATTTGCAAAGAGTATTTAAGATGAATAAGGACTAACCTATATTTCGTCACACCTTGCAAGGTTGGTTCCATGGAACCAAACGACAAAGGAAAACAATTGTTTGTAGATTGGAGGAAATTTTCTCAGGGAAAGAATATATTAAAACTGAATTGTTTCCGATTGTTTCTTTACAAAATTTAGAATAAACTATAGAAGCCAGTAATAAAAAAGTAAACCTTTGTGTGCTGTGTCATGGGATAACTGATCAGTTATTATCATATTATTCGAATAATATGGATGAAAAATCAATATGCGTATTTAAAGATTTATTAAAATTATTTACAAAATTACCTTATTAAAATGAATTTGGAAAAAAAGACAAAAATTGTATTTTCATAATTATATGTTATTAGTGTCATAACAGTACTATATCCGAAATGACACCTATATCGGACCCTGTATTGATAATTATATTGGCTGTCTGAAGATTCAACAAGTAAACGCATTATTTGTTCTGCTGACAATATCATAGCTTTTTTGGCGTGTAGCGCTCTGACTTTCTTTTCAAGAATGTGAAAAGCTTTCCATATCTGTAAAAGTTCATCAACAAGAAGTTTAAAGGGTTACTTATCGATAGCTTGGACAAATAGCAGAGTAAAACATATTCGGTTGTTGTTTCCACATTTTTTCTGTTGAGTCCAATTTGATGTAGTATATTTTGTTCGTAGCGATCTTTTTTTACATTTGAACTTAATGCGGTCGCTTTTTCACTCTGATTTTTCTGTATATACTTGAAATTGTGAGACGTAGCCAGATTGATCTGCGCGTATCCAGATTTTATATCCCCTTTTTTACTGGTTTTAAAGACATATAGTGCCGGAACCCGATTCACTTCTTAAATTTTACTATTGATTCATCGATAATCTGATTTTCATAAGGTTTATAAGACTCCAAATAAGTTTTTGAAATAATATCGATTATTGGCCTAAGTTTGTATAATTTATCAATACCAACTTCGCCCTGTTTTAGTTGAATGGAATTATTATTTAAATGTTCCCCAAACCGATCTCTAGACATGCAGTAAGAAATGTGTGGATTCCTTATTTGTATTGAAGAAACAAATAATCACTATAACTGGGTGTCTTTGTGAGATCCATCATTTAATTACACTTAAAAAACATTTAATTTCATATGCGTTTGTTGCAATAAATCTATCGGTGGACAACGTATACATTAAATGTATACGTTTTGGAAGACTCAGCATCATTAGAAATATTTGGCTCCACAATGTAAGAGGGATAAACTATTTTTACTATCAAATTCATTGTTGCTTTTATAAGTCGTGACATTATTTTCGACTATATTTCGTGAAGTAAATTCCGTAAGTTTCTTCAAAATCTTCATTTTAAATCTCCCCAAGATGATCTACAGATGGGGCTTCTGAACCTAATGAATTATTATCGGAAAGAATTTTGTCTTAACAGATGTAAGCGTTACTCGAACTTATTGTTTAAATGCAACAAAAGTTAAAATGTTACAAATGTCCCACATGGCTCTAAATGTCAATACAAAATATTTTATCCAAATATAATTTTTTCGTAAATCAACGAAAAAAACACGTAGGTTCTTAGATAATATAATATTCAAAGATAGTTAAACAAAAATAAACACTATAATGTATGCTAACACGTACTCATTTTGGATGATTTTTAAATACCTTATGTTCTAAATAATTTATAGAAGTTCTGATTTTGGTTGTATCAACTGTTATTCTCCTTCTTAAAACTTTCTAAACCTAATAAACGGAGCATTTATGCATTACAGGCATTTTATTATCTTTTCAGTTTTATCATAAATGGGAAATGTTTTAGAGCAGTGTCCTATTAATATTTCATCTGTACTTTCTGTCCTAACGAAAGATGGAGCCATGTATTTCAGAAAGCTTTGGGTTTAAAATAAATAAAATAAACCTGTATTTATCTTTTTTATTATTTTATTTAACAATAATTTTTATTAAATTTATTAAATAACATTATTGTGGTAAACGTTAAAACTTTTGGCAAGTTTAAATTAATAAAAATTGGATTTCTGTCGCGCATCTCTTCCGTTAATTTAATAGGAAATTGATTACAGCTATATACAAAGTCTTTCTTTTTTTAAATTAAAAACACCCTCGAATTCGAGAATTACAATAAATTACTTAATAATTACTTCCTAGTGTTGAAACCATCCCCGGTTGGGTCCAAGATCCATGGATAGTTGTTGGGGCATTCCATGCAGGTGAAGAGACGGAGTGTTTCTCCGGGGAGTTCTCTGGTGTTGAGTGGACAGGAATTGGGCAAGGAGCAGTAGGGTTGTCCCTTGACGTCGCACTTTTCTTTCCATTCTTGGAAGTCACGAAGACCGTTCAATTCAGTTGGGTTTTGCATCCATTGTATGACCTGCAAGTTGGTTACGAAGTATACGTCGTTGCGTCCCAACATCTCTTCGATGAACTTGATCAGTTCTTCCTTGAATTCCTTTTTGCTCTTTAACCAGGAAGCGTGGAAGTTAAGACCCAATGGAGCACGGTTGCTGTTGAAGTGACGGTTGAAGTTGTGCCTCAAAAGACGGCCAAATTGTTCTCCGGATTGGATGTTGGAGCAAGAGTCAACCATGTGACAACCAGGAAGAGATTCGTCGAATGAAGGGTCATCTCTTCTGTCCAATTCGTTCATGACCATTTCCCATACCGGGTGAGATCTGGATGGGCAGTTGTGAGCGTTACCGTTGCACTTGTGTGGCATTCTGAAGTAGAGTGTGTATGGCCAGATTGGTACGCGGTTCAAGGAAGCAGTGATAGAAGCGTCGTATACGAAGAATTGATCAGCCATCATTTCGAATTGTTTGTTACCTCCTACGCGCAAGTATGGGGCACGGACACCGATTATGGAACCGTCGGTAATGTTGGCGAAACGTTCTACGATCAACCTGGCGCCAGCCATTTCAGCTAACCAATCATCGTAAGAACCTTGGGACCAGTAGTTGGGGTCTTCTTTGTGGGTGAGAGAGAATACGGAGATTTCGTGACCCCGTCTGTGCAAATCTTGGACAGCAGAGTAGTTGGTGTATTTGTGGGATACGAAGAAGGTACCGCGGATCTGGCAACCGTTGGGGTTGGCACGTTGGCCGTTAAAGATTTCTTCGTACAAGTCGATGTTGTCAACGTTGACGGCACCGTTGAAACTGATGGTGATCATTTGTGGTACATTTGCCGGTTCCAAAGATCCGGGAATTCTGGTACCATCAGGAGAGCAGAAGCAATCGGGCAATTGACATTGGTTCAAATCACAATCTGGGGCACGGTTTGGATCGGTTTCAACAGCTATAATACGAATCAGATTAGAATTGGTTTCGATTGTTGATTTTTTGTGAACTTACTGCAGGCGTTTTCATCAGATTCATCCTTGCAGTCAGGTTTTCCGTTACAGAAAAGATCTTTAGCGATACATTCGCCGTCACCGCAGGAAAGTTTTTCTGCTTCGCATATTGGTTCGTCAGTCTTAAAGTTGGGAAGTACTTTTCTTGGTTCTAAAATTGTTAATTATCTGTTATTTATCGGTCTGGCATACCCATAACTTTCGCATATCTGTACATGGTGTATTATACTGTAGTATGTTGATTGGCGTTTTGTACAATTGTATTTACAAAAACATATATTCGGTTGTATAAAATAGAAAGTAGACTTTAAAAGATTTTTAGTTATAGAAGAAATACTAAATATTGAATAGGAAGTAAAGAATAAATTAACACAGTATCAACTAAAGGAAGTTAACATAACATACAAGAAATCTAATGTATTATTAGTTACAGATGAAAATATTTAACAAACAAGTATAGAATAAAATAAAAAAAGTAATAAGTAGAGTGCGACAGATATTCGTGTGTAGGTATTGTGTGTAGAGGTGTGTTTTATGTTTATTAGCTTATTATGTAAGTTTTATAAAATGCGTGTTAGCAAACATAGCAAAAACATGCAATTGAATTTTTAGTAAAGCAAAGAGTGTTATATATCTACTTTCTACAATTGACTGTAAAATAAAAACAACTACGAAATTTTGACTGCATTTTTTCCTTATCGACCTGCTTTTTCAAAAATCTGAATTAAGTCAAAGCAAAACTTTGGTTTAGTATTAGTTGCCTATTTCAGATTTTTTTCCAAAAACCGATCCTTCACCGCGGAACGCTCTGTGGCACAGCAGCGTTTTGCGACTTACTCTCCAATTTATCACAGTTTGTTACTTTTCCCTTCCAGTCGCAAGTTTGTTTATCAATGTCAAACGCCAATCCACTGGGGCAAGTGATTTGTTTTAGACCGGATCTAGTACACCTGTACACGTCAAAACATTTTTTGCTTAATATTAATTGTTGCAACCAAGAAAGACTGACCATATCGAATAGTATATTAAAGTACAAGTTGCAGAAGGCCACATATTCTCGCACGAATTCGAAATTTGGCCTCGAGCGACGAAGGAGCGAGTGGACGAACGAATGAGTGCGAGAATAGCCTTCTGCAACGTGTGATTTATACTATTTTCTCGATTTTAACTTTTATTTAGGTTTTTTTAATTGTTTTGTGGTCGTTGTTAGTTAGGGGATTTTTCTCGCAAAATGTCAGTTGGCAACACAAAATGACAATATTTGTTATCCTGCACAAGTACAACCTGAACTGCACTTTTACACATTAAACTTAAAATTTTGCATTAAAATGCATTGTTGGAGCAAACTTTATATTACAAAACAATAATAAAGGCTTCATTTTCAATAAAAGTAATGAATTTGAGGTTATTAATCAGTTTGACATTTTGGGGGCACCAATACTTAAAAACTAAATGTTACCAAAAATCGTTTAAGAATGAGCTTCATTCTTCAACGATTTTGCGTGCGAGAATATGACATTCTTACATAAAAATCGAGAAAATATATTACTAGCTGCGTATATCACTAGTCTGATAGTTAAACTCTCAATATGTCATCATTATCTGAGATATTGATGGAGTTAGGAAACAGTTTTCAGATATTGATCAATTTTTCTTCTATATCGACTTACTTTCTACACGATCACAATTTTTGACGTTTGTTTTCCAATCGCAAGTCTGCCTATCAATGTCAAAAGCAAGACCTACTGGACAGCGAACTGACGCCAGTCTTGTGACGCCGTTATTATCAGCGTTCATATCGCACCTGAATAATACAAAAATCGTTCATAAAAATGTAAAATTATTCAGTTGACATTTTTATAAGTCACATTTTATCATTTTTTCTGGATCATGATAAAGTTTACCTGACTACATCTCTGCAATCGCCTTCAGTTGACAAACGGAAGTATTCATCAGCTGGCCTGTTTTCGCAAAGTTCTTCCGCAGTTGGTTCGTCGCTACCTTCATCATCCTGAGCGTAAACTATAAAAAATATTTTATTGAGTAAGCAAATTAAAATAAATAGAATTTAATACTGTGTAGAAATCCAAAGAAGAAGATAAAATATTAACAGTAGTTTTAATTGATTTGCAATAAATAGCCCATATTACACGATAACCTTGAATTAAAATGACTAAAGTTTTGACATTTTAATAAATAGAACCATTTAAATACGATACTTAATCTTATAAATATTTATAAGGGAATGTAAAATGTCAATTAAAAATATGAATACTAAATAATAAAATATTTTATCTTCATTAAAAAACGTTTTTCTTTGATATTTTACCCTTTTAATAAATTATAACGCAAACTTTTTGTAATAATGGCAATATTAAACAATAAATTCTCGTTTTTGCACTATAAATTAGTCCAGGCATATAAATTATTCTGACAAAATAAAAAAGTTTCTAATAATTAGAAATGCTATAATGAAACAATTTTAAAATGTATGCGTTCATTGTGATAAAAGATTGTTTTAAGAATTATTTTTTTTTAATGTATTAGAATTGTTCAATAAAAGAAATCTGGGTCGATTGAAAGTATTTGTATGTTTTTAGGATGTCGAACTGGTTTCTATAATAATGTTTATATAAGAAATCGCCATAAGGCGAATTTTAAATACCTAAAGACACCAATATTAAATGAAATTAATATTATAATTTTAATTTGTATATAGGAGAAATGCATTAAAACAAAAGTTAGTAACCCTCCTATCAAAAAGTGAAAGATGAAAATATAAAAAGGTCGTTGCAACACTACTTAAAAAAACTGTGTCGTAGTATATTGAAAGTTGAATCTTCAACTAAAGTATAAAATTAAATACCAAACGTGTTGCAACAATAAAAACTGACATCTGACCTTATAGTAATGATTCTTAACAACATTTTAAGGCTTGGCAAGAAAAGGGGTGAGGTTCTTATTTGAATTAAACATAAAGCAACACCCTATACAATTTTGAAATAGTACTGTTAGATTTATTGATATGCAGGATGTTCAATTTGGTACTGTAAGTACCAACTAAAGGTCAATACTGCGACCTTTCTATTTGAACAAAAAAATTACTGCGAATTACAAACTTGTCGAACAACTTTCAAAAAATTAAAAAACATTTCTTAAAAATTATCACGAACCTTAACCCTTTTTGTAAAATTAAGTAAAATATTCAAAAATTTACTTACCGCTTCCGAGGATCAAAAGTGAAAAACACAGCCACAATAATTTAGCCATGCTGTAGATACCAACACTACCCAAGAAGTGGCAAACAGTGAAGTTATATATTTATACTCGGTGTATTTCTTTTATGCGCATGCGTTCAAGTTGGTTCTTTGTAACTGGTACTGAAAGGAGTATTAAACACTTTCACTGTGCAGACACAACTGATGCATATTGAAGTTTACTAACCACTTATATATTTTATTGTTTTTGTTCATTTGGTTAATGCTTTTCTATCCAGGATGTACCCCCTCCAACCCTGGGATAATCTGGCACCACTTTCTTATGTCTAAGAGTAATCATCATTTAAAACTATTAGCCAAATTTTACCTGTAATTTCAGATTTGCAATATTTAATGATTAAACTATGCAAAAGGATTTTGGTACATTACACTGGTTTACAGTCAAAATGTACCTTGAGTGCGACTATTTTTTTCTGATGTATTTTGGCCTGCTAAACTCGAAAATGACAATAAAAATTTTTTTTATGGCAAGATTTTCCAAATAAAAAATTGTCTTTGATTTTTCGATGCCGGCTTTACTATTTGGGATATATCTCGAGTTTGAAATGGCCAATTTGATTACAACAGATGTCAAATTAAACCTAATTAACATAATAACAAATGTAATTGTATAAATGCCCAATTAGTCAATAAGTTTAGGTGCAATGGGGCCAAATATCGAGAAAAAGTCAATTTTTTGGACAAAATTAGAATTAAGTATTTACTATTTTACCAAAAAGAAGCAAAAATCATTAAAATATGCCCATTCCCACTTACATTTTTTTCCCAAAAATCTTGGTGACCTGAGTGATGAGCATGGTGAAAGGTTTCATCAAGAAATAAAATCCATGGAGCGGCGCTATCAGGGCTTTTGGAATGAAAGAATGATGGGGGATTATATTTGGTTCCTTGTAAGGGAATCAGATAACGAAAACAGAAGGCAATCTAAAAACCTAAATTATTTTTAATTTACAATAGTATTGTATATTAAATTATATTATAATGATATATAGAGTGTTCCATTTAAAATGAAACATCCTGAATTTTTCGGAAACTAAAAGAATTTTGAAAACTCACGAGACACATAAACTTTTATATCGAGGGAGACAACAAATTTTGCCATTAATGCTATTAATGCCAAAATTTGGTTTCCCACCCTTATCCTCTATGCCCAGGAGCTTTCCCCTTAATAATTTGTACATATCTAAAAAATGAACTGACCAATTTAAAAAAAATAAAATGCCGTTTAATAGGGATTTTCAAGACCTTTAAAATAATGTAGTACTCTGTACCCCTTCTCTATTTAAATTCTTAAGGGGGTAACTCCGGGGCGCAGAAGGTAAAGGTGGGAAACCAAATTTTGCCTTAAAAAGTTTTCCCCCTCGATATAAAACTTTACCTGTCTCTGCGTTTTTTAAAATACTTCTAGTTTCCGAGAATTTAGGGGGGTTAGTTTTAAAAGGAACACTGTATTTTAATATTAAAATATAAAATAAAATTTATTTAACAGTAAAAAGGTTCTATTAGGCAAATAGAACCTTTTTTTGTAAAAAACTTAATTTCGGAAAAAAATTTACCTGTCCACTTTTTGCATTAACCCCTTTAATTATAATAATTATCAATAGATTTGTTTTAAAAATATCTTGTTTTCTTTATAACAGTTTGAACTCCACGTAGATAATTTAAAAATTGACATATTTTGTTGATTTGTATTCATCCTTGGCAAAGAAAATAATGTTACATTCTCATTTTTCTCCAAAAAAAAACTACTTTTTCCAATATTTGAGCCCATTGAACTTAAGCTTATTAACTGATTGGGTACTAATAAGGTGATATTTGTTGGCGACTCAAATATGTTTAATTTTAAACTTTTTTCAACCAGATTGGCCATTTCTAACCCGAGATATGACCCAAATTGTAAAGCTGCTTTCTTAAAGAATCAAAATATTAAAGAAAAAATTTTATCTCAAAAACCTTGCCATACAATTTTTTTTTTGTGATTTTTAAGTTTAACAGGTCACAATACATTAGAAAAAAATAGTGGCAGCGAAGGTACATTTTTTTAATTTTAATTTGTAAACCAGTGTTATAGGTACTTTTAAATATAATTGAATATAATACATTGGGTTGATGAATAAAATATTGTGTGCGACTTGGTCAAAAAAGGAGACTCCACTTTTGAGGAACCTCCTCTCTCCCACTAGTCGCACAATATACTATTGTTTTAAATCTTGTTTAAAATAACAATTTTAAAGAAGTGTTAAATACTAGTTTTAAATTTAATTTAAATATAAATTCTACCCTATACGGAAAAATTAAAACAGTAGCCATTGATGTGCATAACACTGATTAATATACAATATAAACGCCAACGTCAAGGTCGATGTAATATTTAAAATCACATAATTTGTAATAAAACCTCACGGGTTACTTTAACATCAGCGATAGTTATTAATGTCACATCAATTAGTAGCCAGGAACTATATATATGGTGTGCAATACTCTCCACATCGTTTCTAAATACAAAAATAAGAAGAAATCTTTTTATAAACATAGGTCGGCAAATGACCCCTTAAAGAGGCGCTCCTAAAGATGGTTTTATATTATTATTTCCGAAACATTACATACAGATACAATAATAGTTATTTATGTCATTAGGTTAAGAAGTAAGGCTTTTTGTGCTAAGCTCAAGGTTTGAAGGCCGACGCGTAGCGGAGGCCTACAATTGAGCGAAGCACAAAAAGGCACTTCTTGGCCGAATGGCATACAACATTTTATCTTCAAAGCACTTTATATAGGTCAATTTAATTCAACATTAAAGCGTCCTAACCTCACTATTTTAGAATCTCATTTATTTATTAGCTAAAGATTACATTAAATGTACAATAATTATTATTGCTTTTAGAATCAGTAATAGTTTGACAATACCTACCCAGATAGCACACATACGTCCACTGGATATCCTTAGGACGTCAACCCAGGACATAGTGGACGTCCTACGGATATCCGAAGACCACGAATGGACGTCCGTAGGACTTCCAAAGTAGACACTTTTGGTTGTCCTTTGGCCGTCCTATAATGGTCTATTAAAGACTGTCCTAGGACCAAATTTGGCCATAATTTGGCTGACAGGAATAAAAACTAAAACACCTAAAATTTTTAACCAAACATTTTTATTCACCTATATTATAATTACAGCACAAATGTCCAGAGGACGTCCAAAGGATATCCCCTGGACGTCTCAGTGTCCAAATGACATCCATTGGACGTCCACTGCCGGTAAATTCGAAATTCAGACATTCCTTGCTTTGCGCTGACTTCAACTTGTCTGGTCCACCTACAATGTATTTTCCCTATGACATAGGCTATGTATAGCTTGCAAATGAAGGAACGGTATATGAGCTCATGAGCACCACATAAAAAAAATTCACGGTTAAATAGGAATAAAAGCTTTTTTAGATATTAAATAAATAAAAGCTTTTCTAGATAACAATAAAAATGATAACCTCACTTTGTAGTTTGGTTGTTGTAAAATTTTGATGTTTTGCTTTGGGAGGATAAAATAAAATTTAGAAAGTATAGAAAGAAATCCCTTGGAAAGTAAAAACAATAAAAATGTGTTTTTATAAAATATTTTTTTTAAATCCTTGTTTTCACGATTTGTTTACGCCCAATTATCAGTGCAACCGTAAATTTTGTTTGTGTGGTACAGTCTATTAGTCAAAACAAACCTAATCTAATTACTTACTTGAATTTATTCTATTACAAGTCTATAAACAGCCAATACCTAGTAGAAATCACAACACACAATGTAGAAACACCGCCATAAACGCCATCACACAGCAAAAGAACGCCATTGCAACGGATTATGGGAAGCGTCGTCACGAACCCGTTCGGTTCTACCCGAAGAAGACCGATGTTTAAAATTTAAAACTATACGTTATAATAACGGAGTTTTCATACATTTAAACGTAATAGCGTTGAGTAAAGAAGTAGTGAACTTATTAATCAATGGTAATAGAATTTAATTGAATTTAAAAATGATGCAATAATGGATTTTACTACCTTTACGTGATAACAAGAAATTTTAAATTAAATATAAATGTATAAATCCCGACGAATAGTACGAATATGTATTATAAATTACCTATATTCAATAATAAACTTAATTTTTTTGTAAATTAATCTTTCTTATAATAAGGCTAATCGATTTGATTGACTGTGATACCCTCAGGCTGTCCCACGAACATCCAAAGAAGGCAAAAGAGAAACCTCATAAAAATAGGTGGTTTATATAATTTGTACATGATATTTAATATTACCCACAATTTATTACATATCCGAAATTTCTTGAACGAAAAGTTTAGGCATGATAGCCCATGGGTGCACCCACATAGTACAAGATGTCCAAAGGATGTCCAATGGACGTCATTTGGACATCCTGTGCTGTGTGAGCAGGAACGTCCAATCTAGGTAATTCTCGACTTAGCCAGGCCGAACGGGTCTGGGACATCCATAGAACGTCAATTATAGACCTGGTCCGGCTAAGCCTTATTTGGCTTACTTTGGACGTCCAAAATACGCCTAATCAGGCTAAGCCGAACAGGGTCTAGACTTGACGTTCTATGGATGTCCCAGACCCGTTCGGTCTGGCTAAGCCGAGAATTACCTAAATAGGACGTCTGTGGGTTATCTTGTGCTATCTGGGTAGCTACATGATTTAAGTAGAAATGGATTTTTGCTATTACATTGAATTCAATTAATTGTTTAATAAATAGGTAGCTACCTAGGTATCTAATTTCAATTTGTTTAGATTTTTATTTAAAAAATAGGTAGTTTGGAATGTTTAAGCTGTGCTTAACATTTAATTTCCCTGAAAACTTAAAGCAAATAGTAACTTAAAGATAATTTAAATCGTAGAAAAAGAATCGTGCGTTTTCTTGGATGCCTAACCTCACTTTTTGTTTTATTATTCATATTTAATTTTACAATAATTTAATGAAAAATATTAAACATTAACAGTAAAACAAACAAATTAGTGCTTTATCGGCCTAGGCCATAACAAGGTATTTCTTTATTAAATGTTGACAACAATAAAGTTTTAATTATAGACCGCGTGGAGATAAAGAAATTTTTATGCTTACTTAACTTTTCCT